CGGGCTGTGGGCGTTGAGCTGTCCTTCCTTCCAAATGCCCCATTTGGGAACCTGCCATCCACAAAAAAGCATTTGGGAATATACTGTAACATTGCGCATGAAGATGTAGTTTTTTAGAACTCATTCAGCCAAAACATAGTGCCTTTTTGCCCCCACTCTCATGCCGTTGCCTAAGTTCATTCCACTTACAGTGTGAAGCGTTGAAGTTGCGCCACTGACACTTGGGGCCCGAGCACAAGCTCCTGCTCCTGCTCAGCCATCTCATAACTCAGTATATGGGAGCAAGCGGTGCGGGTTCAATCCAAACCAACAGAACCCTGCTCTCTCTGACATCACAGGGACCCTGACTCGGACAACTCATCCACAGGGCTCATGAGCGGCATAGCGGAACCAGCTACGAACCACCAAACCCCTAAAGTTCTCCTGGAAGCCACGCGAGTTCATGTGTGAAGTGCACGCAAGTACGTGCAGGTCAACTTGAGGCCGCCATCGGCGACAAAACATTTGTTTTCTCCCAAGTTTTCCCAAGTGCTATGCCGCGATTGAACCCTGTGGCACACGTTTGGAACCACGGCAAAATCATCGTTAATCCTTCTAAAGAATCTGAGCCAGCCTACTGATAAAGCCTGCATCAAATCCAAACGATCGAGAAACAAAGAAGTTCAAACATTCGAGAATACACCAAACATTCAGAAAAACATTGGCTCAAACATGTTCACTCATGTCGGTGTAAAGAATCCTGCATCAAACTTTCGAAGAGAAAGTTCTTGTTAAGTTCTTGCGTGTAGTGTGACGCTGAACCCCGCGAGTCACAAAGGGGCAAGAGAGCCGGATCCATTAGACGATAAGAGGCTTTGGACCTTCCTCCGGTTTTAGATGCTAGTGATACTAGAAAAATCCGGACCCCTCGCCCTCACCCCAGCAGCTCAGCCAGCCGAACGCGGCAGGCCCAGAGCAACCTCACCTGACGCAGTGAGATCGGGCCGGGAGGTGTTTAGCCAGGTTCATGTCATGTGTCACGCTTAAGTCACTTTGCAGTGCCCTGCCTCGCCCGTCGTTTCATCACGTGCTTGGTGGGCGGACCTTTGGAGACAGGTGGTGCCGATTTCAAACATGTTTGGCCACCAAAAACAATTCAATCCCCACACTGGGCTTCACATCACCGGAAAAGCAGTTCTCACTCTCAACTCAGCCCGTGGCTGGCCAAAGTCCAAAGTTGCAGCCAGCGTTCGAATTGGCGACCCCAAAAAGAAGCTAAGTCACACAAGGAACTAGTCAACTGTTGCCAAAAACTCCACATCAAGGTCACCGTCTCTCAGTCGTTCTAAAGCTTCGTCCACAACATGCCACACAGAAGTCAAGGTCTTCTTTGGGCATTGGACACCAGCGGTCTCCTCCACGTAAGCTGCAACCTTGGACTTTCTCAGCTGGAGTGTGGTAGGGTGGTGTTGCAGGCTGAGGGTAGCACTGTGCGAAGGACAGTAGCTGCAAAGCTTTTTTCTTCAATCACCTTGGGTATATATTGGTTGATATTGGTTGGATCACATTTGGTTAATGCAGGACATTGTTGACTTGAGCATGGCACCTCCATTGGGCCAGCTTCAGTCTGAGCATCGTCACGACATGCAAGGGTGACCTGTCACATGAAACAGCAGTCAAACAAAGGGTTGATGACAGGGTTGGAATTCAGCCCGCAACACCTCCGGCGAGAATGAGTGGCGGTACGCCTGAGAGTTGTTGGCGGTTGTGTTTCACCTGTCCGTTTGCTTAAAAGCTTCCAACATGAGGGCAGAACTCGCTGGGTTGGGTTTTGGACTTCATCCAAGATCTTCAGGGTTTCAGGAGACCATTGAAGCGCATCCTGCAAGAATATTCCCGGGCCAACAAGACAAGTTACATGTAGATTCACATCTCCTGGCGGCGAATCCCAGCCTGATTGACAACGGATTTGGCTGAACCACCCCAAGAAGAGTTGGTTGTTGAGGCTTTGACAGTGCGTACTGGGGTGCGGCTTCGGGAAGATAGATCCTCGCTCAAACAAAACTTACTGTATCTTACTGTAGATGTCAAACACGTTTGAACGCAGAAAGGTGAAGCCACAAGATTGTTCGGGATGTTTCACTCCTGATATTGGCGAGACATCTCTCAGCCTGACTGGTTGCAATCTTGTCTGAGATGGAACAAAGATCTCTTCGATGCTGGGGTTGCGGACTGGAAAGATGAGCCCAAACAAGTTCCCCAAAGCGGCCTCCCAGCGCATGATCAAGGCCACCAGCCCCCAACACGTGTAAAAATTTTGGGGGCAATCAAAAAACCACGCCTTTCACCCCAAATCTTGTGCGGTGGCCATTCCAGCAAACGAACCGCCGAACCGCCGAACCCGTGGCCAAACAGCCGCGAAGCGGGCGATGGTTCATCGCTCGTCAGCGAAAAAAAGACAACAAAGCTGGCTGGGAATGTTGGCGTGCACATTGCCTCCAGGTCCATGCACGCATATAATATATATATATAGTACGTTCATACTATGTATGGCATTGCCATGGCCAGAATGTGTGCATAAACTTTAAATGGACAAAGTTCCACGGAACTTGTGTTTTGTGCCATTTGTTCACCAACCTTTCAATGGCACATTTCTTGGCGACTTCTGCTTTGGCTTTGGCGCACTGACTAGCAAGTCATGTCAAAACCCTAGATGCAAAACAAAGCCCCCAACCAGAGGAACAGAAAATCAAAGCAAAACGAGAGCACGTTATGACAAAGCCATGGAGCGCTACCGCAACTTCTTACGAGAAGAAAGTCGTCCATATCCGCGAGACGCTGCAGGCCAAGACTATGTCCTTTCGCACTACATCGAACATCTTTGGGAGACAGGAGAGGGAAGAGCACTTGCCTGTGACTCCGTTGCAGCGGTACAAGACTTCCACCCGTTTCTTCGTGGACATTTGCCTAGTGCATGGCGCCTTCTGAAGACATGGTCCGCAAATGAACTACCCAACCGTGCACCCCCGCTGCCTTTGGAGGCCCTCCATGTTCTAGCTGGATATGCCTTGTTTAGCGACCAACCACTGTTCGCCCTGTCCTTGCTTCTTGGGTTTCATGGGCTCCTACGCACCGGGGAGCTACTAGGGGTGCAAAAGGCGCATGTGGTGCAGTCAGGTCCTCGGAGTCCAGCCGTGATCTCACTCGGGTTCACAAAAGGAGGTAAAAGGGCAGGAGCCGCAGAGAGTGTCACGATTCGAGAAGAAGACACTTTGCGAAGACTTTGGCAATGGTTGAGTTCACCGCACACCCCAACAACCCTTTGTGGAACACCTCATTCTTGGAGAAAGACCTTCAATGAGTGCCTCTTAGCTTGCCAACTTGACAGTTATGACTTCAGGCCCTACAGCCTCAGGAGAGGAGGGGCCACGATGTATTTTGGCCGACACGGCTCGTTGGACCGCCTCCTGATTCAAGGGAGGTGGGCCTCCAGCAAAACGGCCCGAATTTACATTAACGAAGGTCTAGCTGTGCTCGCTGAGCTTAAGCTTACTTTTAATGGCACTGCACAAGCCTACAGAAGACAATTTCAGAAGTCTCTCCGTGTCCCGCTTCAAACTCTTGAGCTTCACCCCAAGGGTGGGCCAGGGGGACGTGGAAGGAAGCAGAGACCAAAGCGCAAAGCGCGCAAATAAGGGAGCTTCGA